CTCTCTCTCTCTCTCTCTCTCTCTCTCTCTCTCTCTCTCTCTCTCTTGCTAGTTAGTTATCAAGTTTTTAACCCTTTCACGTTCAACTGAATTTACTTTTACACCAAGAACACACACACACAATGGCAATTGCATAACGCACACACTTTTGTTGACTAATAAAAAAAACAAAGATGAAGTGACGAATAGAAAAAACGCGAAAAAAAAGATTACCGACACACACAACATTCACACTTTTTCAATGGAAAAAAACTTTCAAGTTCCATTCATTCATTTGGGATGATGTTTTTTTTCGAAAAACAAAAAAAAATCAAGAATGATTAATGATTATGGCCATCATTTGATGATGTTGCAATGCGAAAATTGCATTGCAGAATTTAGAAATGTATTTTTATTGTTGTTGCTGCTAAATTTCCTTTGGAAAAGAATATCTTTTTTTTCAATTTTCATCAATGAAAATTCATGTGACTTTATCGAAACAGAAAATCATTTAAAATTCTCTCAAGATAGATGGAGAAAAACGAGAAGCAAATTTGGAAAATTGAAAAACCAAAATTATTATTTTTTTTTTTTTGTTTTCAATTTTGAAAAGAGAGATTAGTTAGTTTTTTTGTAATAATAATTTTTTGATGAAGAAAAAATCGATATAATCGATATTTAGTGAAAATGTCATAACAAAAAACAAACATGAAATATAAAAAAAAAGAACATTGATAATGACAACATTGTAATAAGTTTTCATCATCATCAAAATGATTATGGTTATATTGTTCCTGGATCATCATCAACATCATCATGATAATAATGTTTTTCATTTTTCTCTCTCACTCTCTCTCCTGATGATGATGTCATTCTCAGTAAATTAAAAAAAACAAACTAAAATGTCCAGCTTTTTTCGCAGCAAAATAAAATAAATGATGATGATGACAATTATTGGCCGTAAGCATCAGACCAAACACATAATAATAATAATTGTCAACCTCACCCAAACAGAATTTGAATTGAATTGTTTCAACGCTATGAATAGCAGGTCTATTCTGGTCTATTCTGGTTCTTTGCTTGTTCTCGATTAGTCAATAGGGACCGATGGTGGTGGATCAAGAATCAAAACAAAATCATCAGGATAATTTGTTTTTTAAGCAAAATAATAATAATAATGAAACAAAAAAAATGAAAAATTCGGGATTTAGTTTAAAAATTCTGGTCAAACCTATTTACCTATTTGTTGTTGATGATGATGATGATGTTGTCGTCGATGATGTTGTTGGTATTGATGTTGATGATAATGGTGTTGATAATCCAAGTGCGGCTGCAGCTGCTACAATTTGTTGTTCACGTTCACGTTGTTCTCTTGATGATAATGTTGTTGTCGATGGTGATGATGATGATGTTGTTGTTGTTGTTATCGATGCTGTTTGATGATGATGATGAGATTGATGATTTGTTGAAGATGATAATGAATTTTGTTGCTGTTGTTGTTGTTGTGCAGCGGCTGCTGCACTTAAATGTTGCAAAAATGGAAATGCAGCTTGATAACCATTTGCAGCAAGCATTGCTGCAGCAGTTGCAGCAGAATTTGCAGCAGCAGCCGCTGCTGCTGCTGCTGCATTATTATTATTATTTACATTATTTTGATTATTTAATTGTTTATTTAAATCTAAATCCGATAAACGTAATCGATTATGAATCGATTGTATTGAATCATAAAGTGATGATGTACGATTTGTATGTTTTTTATTGTAAGTACGTTTAACATAATTACAATCTAAATCATTTGCGGAGGATGAATATCTAGCTTTTTTATTATTCGTATTTCCATTTCCATTTCCATTATCATCATTATTATTGTTATTTGATAATGCAGCAGCGGCTGCTGCCGCTGCTGCTGCTGCATTTGTAAAACCTAATAATGGTAATAAATTATTTGCCGCTTGTGATGATGTTCCGGTTGGTGTTCCTGTTGTTGTTGTTGTTGGTGTTGATGATGAATTTAAATGCGAACCAGATATGGAACCAGAATAATTTCCTGGTTCTGGACTTGGTATTCCTGAACTACGTTTTGGTGGACGACCAGGCCTGATGATAATGTAAAGAAGAAAAAAAAAACAAAAAAATTTTTAATGAATCGAACCAGATGGAAACAAAATTTGCATATTTCTCACAACAACAAAAAACGCGTGCGCTTTTGTGTTTGATCAACAAACAAAAACCTGAAACCAAACAAATCAAACAAACGCCAAAAATAAATAATAAATAAACAAAGGTGCAAACATTCACACTCTTCATTATCTACAAACAACAACGATTCTTTCCACCCACACCAGAAAACACCAGGAAAAAAAATATTAAAATATTTTGTTTGTTATTCATTTGATTGCATGCATTATTTCTTGTCATTCAACATGAATATTATTCAAGAAAAGAATCAAGAGAGAAATATTTGCCATTATTGCGCCATAATAATATTAATTTTTTCTGGAACAAAAACAAACAGAAAAAAATGGATCAATATCCGACGTATGTCACACACATTTATTCTAGTTTTGCAGTTTTTTTGACAGAAACAAAAAACCAATAAAAATTAATAATTAAGCTTTGTCAATGTTGTTGTTGTTGTTGTTTATTTTTCTCCAAACAACAACAATTTAACAGAATAACCGAATGAAAGAAAAAAAACCTTGACGGTTGTTGTTGTTCAATGTTTTATTTTTTTCATATAAATATGATGTTTACATAAACACCAACGGTGTCCCCATAAACCACCATAAGTTTTGTTCGGTTTTTTGTTTTTCGTTTGGCAATGAGAAGAAAGATTTAGATAATATTATTTATATGATTTGTAATATCGATTTTAGCCTGATATAATAATAATCCCAACTAAACGAAAAATATTATATTACAAACAAACAATATGTGTGTGTGTGTGGTAAAATCCATAGGCGGTTTTGTATGTGTGTGTGTTTGGATCAAAAAAAAAATGGTACATTATCATTATCTTTATCATATACACACACACGTGTCAAATATGATCCAGCAAAAAAGCAAAAATTTTGTCCTGTTCATTTTAGACAATTTATTATTGCTGTTTGGTGTTGGTGGTGGTAGTAGTGTACATTCATTTCTCATGAGGTGGCCACTGATGTAATAGTTTTTTGCTTTTGTTTCAGCTGGATTGTGATAAATTTCCCTGGAAAAATAAGCGAAAAGTTTCCCTCTTTTGTTTTTACCTTTTTTTTGAGAATATCTTTTATTTGATGATACTGATGATGATTATTATTGATGTTTATAGCCAAAGAGAGAGAGAGGGGAAAGGAAATAAAAACAATAAAATAAAAATAATATCAGCAATAAATTGCATTGCATTTCATTGTCGAATCAATCAATTATTTATTTATTGCTTTTTTTCAACAACAACAACAACAACAACAAACAAACAAATAATGTAATGAATAATAAAGTGTGAAACCATTTTTAGATAAATGAATTGACTTTGTTAGTTATTTAAGTGGAAATAGTCGATTTCAATAAATTTCAATTTACATTCGACGATGAAATGGAAAGGAAAGAGAAAAGAGAATATTCCGATTCGAAAATGGAAATAAAATGGATTTTTTTTCTTTCGTTGATCGGTTTTTGAATCAGCAGAAATAAAAAAGGGAAAATTCCTTGGCCAAAAAAAAAAGTTTTCGGGAAAATAAACAACCAGAGAACCAGGAAAATGGATTGCTTGGAAGGGAAAAAACGAGGAATTTTCCCCAAAAAAGATTCGGTTGATGTTTGTTTCAACCAGGCAATCGAAAAAAAACATCACCCAGAATGATTGATCGATAGCGAAAAATTTTTTTGCAAAAAGCGAAAATGAAATTTAAAAAAAAAATTCAATATTCATTTCACAGAGATCAAATCAACAAACAAACAAACAAACAAACATTGTGAAACCAAAAACCCGGCATTAGGTTTGGTTCGTGGAACGAAAAATTTCATTTCATTTTTTTAAAATAAATTTGTTACGGAAATTGAAATCATTTTTTTTTTCGTTGTCGTTGTTTAGGTTTTTTTAAAAATTTAATTTTTTGTTTTCAAATTTCAATTGAATTTCTGGTGTTTTTCGTTTCGTTTTTTCTCTTTTTGCGGTTTTCAATGTCGATTGACATTTTATTTGGGAAGAAAAACCCAGAGAATCGAACAAAATCATCATCAGGATAAAAAATCACCGGTCCCAAGAGTTTTTCATGATGTAGCATCACTGTTTTTTTGGTTTTTTTTCGGGTTTCCATCGATGATGATGATGTAATATAAATCATATTGGTGTGTGCGAAAAAGTAGATTCGAGGAGAAACCAAAAAAATGTCGAAAAGTTTTTTGGCCTGTTAATCTCTCATATAGAAACCATAATCGATTATCAATCACAATGAAAATGACAAACGTACACACACACACACATACTGAGCGAATTGAAATTGCCCGAAGGAATTGGCTTCAAAGCCAGAATTATTATCATCATCATATCAGACGCGATGATTATGGAAAACTTAACTTCATATTCTCTCTGTGTATGTGTTTGACTGATGATTTTTCTGTGATGTTTGTTTGTTTTTGTTATTTTAACACAAAAAACAAACAAACTAAACAAAACATACACAGGAGATATTTACAACAAAAAACACCGTTAGATCATCAATTTTCTTCTTTTTGTTTCCATTAAATAAAAACCAATCAAAGATCGAATAGATCGATCGATCGATAAACAAATTCATTCATCATCATCATCAATATTATCGATGAAAATTACATAATCATCACTGTGGATAGATATATTTTAAATAATGGACGAAATAAGCAAATTTTCCGAAAAGTTTTTATCTTTTCAAGTAAATATTTACATAGACAAAAAATGATGATAATGACGATTATCATCACAGTAAATCTATTTCAACCTAGAAAAAGGTAAAAATAGGCATTCAGTGCAAAGGGAAAAAATAAATGTAGCCATTCAAATGATGAAAATGATCACGTTTTTTATAGTTTCTGGAACACAAAATTTTTGTTCCAGAAAAATAAATATTTAAATTCAATATTTTCATTTGGAATTGAAAAACATTGATTTTTCATCATCATCTTCATCATTTTTCTGTAACATGATTTTCCAATTAAATATTTTCAGTTTTTTGAAAACTTGAACATTTTGCTGTTTTTCATTCACAAAAAACGAAAAATGGAAATTTTTTCCAACAAAAAAATTGTGGTTTTTTGTTCGGTTTGTTTGTTATTGTTATCTCGAAAATCTCTTTCCTATCCACTTATCTAATCTGGCAAAACAACATAAGTTGAAATTTTTTTTCAAAAAAAAAACCAAAACGAAACGAAAAAACCTAAAATTGGCTTTCCAATTTGAACAAAACAAACAAAACAAATGGAAACAAGAAAACGAAAATTTGATATCTTTACAATCTGTTGTTGTTGTTGTTGTTGCTATATATTTCTTTCCTGTTTATTTTCCTCTGTCTATCTCTTCAAAGTTTGACAAGTTTTTACTCTTGATGATGATGATGGGAAAACATCCATTCAATATTCAGCCAAAAAAAAAAAAACATTTTACCAATGATGACCCTCTTGTTTTGTTTTTTTCTTTTGTTTTGGAAAATTTATCTGTTTTTCGGTTGTTTGATTTGAAGATAATGATGATTATATGCAAATAAATAAATAGCCAAACAAACAAACAAAGATTTGAATTTGAAAAAAAAAATTCGGGTCATTTTTTATTCAATCACATCTGTGTACTATTGGGTGAAAATAGAGTAATTTTTTCGAAAAGTGATTTTGAAAGAGAGAAAAAAAAAGTGCAACAAATGTTTTTTTTTTGCTGATCTGAATAATCATCGAGAAATCATGTTTAGCAAAAAAAAAAAATCATCATTTGTAAATCGTGATCATCATCTGAATAAGCTAAATATGGACACACGAATTTTCAATCGACCAATTTTTTTTAAACAACCGCCGAATTTGATTATGATCATCATTCACTCAATCAAATGACATATTGATCGAGTTGTAAGCGAAAATCGTTTTGCTTGTTAAAAATCGAGCCAAAATTCAACTAATTTTCAAATGAATCGAAACAGCGAAATAAAATTAAAATGATGAGCATCTGCATATCATGGAAAATTGCATTTTGGTAAAATCAAAATAATGAAACGTGAAAAGCAAAATTTTTGATTTCAAATGGTAAAAAAAAAACAATCAGATAGATGAATTTGATTTGATTGAATCATTTCCATTGAATCATCATCATCATCATATTGAGAGATGGCTTATCTATTTTTAATTCCTGTTGGTGATGATGATAATGATAATCACGAATTTTCATTTTATTTTGAAATAAAAAAATGTGATTGACTTTTGTGATTCACACAGAAAAATGAAACGTAAAATAGTTCGATTTTTTGCCAAAAAACCATAA